GCTCACTCACTCGCTTCTCCCCCGGGAAGCAGCCCTGCAGCGCCCCGAGCGCGGCCGGTGCGGCAGAGGGGAGTTAGGAAGCGATTCGCCTCGTTCCCGCGCCATTTTAAGGCACAGTTGTAACACGGAGAGGGGTCTTGTCAGATTTCGTGGAGGGCGATTCCCGAGCAGCTCCGGTCTCCCTCATTGAGAAAAAAGTACGCACCTAGGAGAAGTATGCATCCGTTGGGACATAGGCTAGGGGAGATTGCGATGGTACACAGGGGAAGTCTGATTCTGGTCTCTGCCAAGCAGAAATGGCCGATGTGGGGGCCGAAAGAGAGGAGCAGGAGGGCAGTGGTGCTCTGTGGCACCCTGTGACTTTGCAGGGCTGTACCATATAATGCTCCTGGAGCCGAATGCTCAGTGGACGAAGGGAAAGTCTAGGGTTATACAGTATCGTGCTTTGAACCTTTCTGTGCCAAAAATGTAAGCCTAAATCCTGTTGAGCACTAAAAAGCCAGCAAAGCACCCTGAACTCTACCAGGAGCCACCTGCAGAGACACATTACTCTCTGAGCTTAGCTACAGGCCAGGTCAAACATGGGGGGAGGGCAGCTTCTCCAAGGGCAAAGCCATGAAGGTGGTGGACCAACAAGCCCCCTCAGCCTTGTGACATGCTTGGCTGGAGGGTTCTGAGGAAATAGCTCCATGCCACAGAACAGCCCAAAGATGTGCCAATGGTTCTGTAATTCATCTCTCCCCCTTAGGAAAGGTAGCAGAGCAGTGTATGTGCACTTTGCTTCTCCTTTTCAGAGCCAGACTTAGCCAGCTGGGCTTTCCCCTTCTATTTCTGTAAGCAGAAATCCATAGATGACAGCACTTGTGAAATGCTTGGCCACGCATTCTGCCACACTGGAGCTCTGGTCCAACAAATGTTGTGCAATGCTTATCTGCAGGCAGTGGAGCAGCCCTGATGTGTACAACTCAGTGCTCGGAATAAAAGATGCTGCTTGCAAGTATCTGAGGGGAAGGGAACATGAGCCACAGGAGAATTTGCTTAAAGCCCCCAAGAGCTTAATCCACTTCTGTCCCAAATCCTTCAGTCAGTGCAGTTGCAGGGGGATGACGGACTCGCTTGGTGGCCTCTCTCCTGACTGGCTTTGTAACTTTAATCTGGTAACTCTAAAACTTTCAGAGTGATCAACTGTATGTCAGTAGATGAATGGCTTTAATT